GTACCTGCACCACAGCGCCTTCACTCTCCCCACTGACCGGGACCACCACTGACGTCCTGGTTGGCTTGCTCTGTGCACATCAGTGAGACAAAGTCAAGACAGATCACCAGCTGCCTGTGAAGAAGCCACTCTTTCCAGCCCGGCTCGTCATGCGTGGGATGGTGTGTGAACCGGGATGCACTCTGTGCTTCTGAAACGGCTGCCTTTGGTTGCCTTCAGAATCACTGGGGCTTTTCCAAGGATGCACACAGGGACTGTGGGTTTGTCAAAGGACAATCCTCTGCAGTCTCTGTGCAGGGAGGAATTCTGCATCCCCCTGGAGCATCCACCATTTTTCCCCCATGAGGAAAGCTGCAGGAGGGTGGGGGGTGGGGGTGAAGCTACAGGACTGAAGGGGGAAGTTACCTCCCGTACAGTAGACAGTCCAAGAAGGCCACTGCTTTGGATAAGAGCCATATATCTGTCTCCAAGGGAGCTGGTTGTAAAATTCACTTCCACCGTCTTCTCATCCCTCTTACAAGCTGTGATGTTCGGATCCCACAGGCTCCCTAGGGGCCCAGCGAGAGTCGCATGACGAGCTGCTAACGCTTTCAATCTTCATCTGAATCCCCCAGGGGGCGCTACAAGTCAGGGACACGTCCCAGACTTGAGACCTGACTGCACTCTGCACTCTCAAAGTATGCGCTGCCCCACGTCCCCACTGTGCTCACAGTCGCTTCCCAGGGCTGCGGGCGCAGAGGCCTTGGGGAGGTTCTTTCTGTTCCCAGGCTGGTGAGAAGGAGCCACAGGCCAGGGCCGTATGGCTCAGAGCGCGGAGCTCGGCAGGATCAGCATGGCCACTGCTAGAACATTCTGGGTTCAAGGAGTCATCCATCAGACCATCGCTCGGGCCCGGCTGGGTGTCAAGACTGAGTTTTATTCCCGTGACTTGAGGAGAGGACTGGGTTTCCAGGAGAATGATACAAACAGGAATTATTTTGCTCTGCCAGGAGACCATTTCAGGCCCAAGTTCAGAACCGTCTTTAGGAGTTTGGAGCTAGGACAGCCCATGAGAAGAAGCAGAGCTCCAACTCTGCCTTCTTCCACCCAGCGCCACAGCTCAGCCTGGCAGAGTGCACAGGGTGCCTTATGAGCTGGATGCCTAAAAGATGGGTGCTGAACTCCCCAAATATCCATACCCCTCATTAGCATTCTAAGATTACATCCCTAGAAACTTATACAGCCCCTTGGAAGTTGGACCCTTGGGACCTGTTGTCCTGAGGGGCAGTTTCATGTGACTATGCTCCACGCCATACGCCTACTCAGACCCTGTCCTTCCCCAGCACGCTCCTCGAGCTGTGTCGTGAGAACTCCGTCCCCACTCCCGGCCTGTGTGTCCTCGCCGCCGGTAGTCCAGTGCCTCCGACTGTGCCCCTGCGGGCTTGAGCCAGCGTCTCCTTCCGCCGAAGGACCATGGTCCTGCTTGGAAGGAGGACAGCCAGAGTGCTCCTTAGAGGTGAGGATGGGGAGACTTGGTCTTACATACGTGGGCATGTTGTCAGGGCCTGTAGGACATCCTACTTGGTAAAGTAGACAAAGGAAGTCCCTCAGCGAGATAGAGGAACAACACGGTGGCTGCCACAATGGGCTCGGCATGGGAACCATTGTGAGGGTGGCGCCGAGCCGTGCAGCGTTTTGTTCTGTTGTGAAAGGGGTCGCTATGGGTTGTAGCCGACTTCAAGGCACCCACCACCACCACCAAAAGCAAACACTGCATTCACATACCTGCCTCGATACACTTTTTTTTGTATTTCATGATGTGATCCAGGCAGCCTGGAAGTGTGAATGAAAGTTTCACAGTTTAGGACAAGGGGTTCTCTGCACATTGGCAACAAACATGACTGCAGACACACAAATGCCATCACAAAGTGGCCCCAAGGCGAGGTGAGATGGCTAACTCCAAGGGGGCACTAACGTCTTACTGTCAGACAGGGCTCATCTGCCCACGACTTCCCCCAAGCAGACACTCCTGAGGACAAGACAACCCACTTTTACATGTGGGGCTTGGTAACATGTTCAGACACCCCCACCCCCGACCCCACGCCCTCCAGGGAGGGCAGACTCATGACGTGCTCCCAAAGATCAGGGTTGGGGCAGGGAGGCAAGGTGACTCTACCATGAAGAAACTCCACACAAGCTCCATCTCGGTGGAGTGATGATGCCTCAAAGCAGCAGTTCTCAACCCGGGGGTCGAACTACCCTTCACAGGGGTCGCCCGATTCATAACAGTAGCAAAATGACAGTGATGAAGTAGCAATAAAAATAATTTTATGGTTGGGGGGTCACCACCACGTGAGGAACTGCATTACAGGTGGCAGCATTAGGAAGGTGGAAAACACTGTCTCAAATGGTCTGTGGTGTCATGTGGCTGTCGCCTACCTGTTAAGATGTGATGAGAGGGCAGGGGGTGGTGATTTCACCCCAAACTAGCAACCCCATTCTAATGTCTAATGAGACAAACCCAGGTGGGGACATGCCACAGGATGGTTGCTGGCCTGCAGACAAGGCCACGAATAACAAAGACCTAGGTGCCGTCCTGAAGGAGCGACAGTGCAGGGTGGGATCCTGGGGCAGAAAGAGGGCCTTCGTGGGAAAACAGAACAGCTACATCACGCCTGGAGTGTAGCTCATCCAACGTCACCAACAACTGTCACAGTTTCTTGGCTTTGACCGGTTGTGGGACCAGTAACATCAGGAGATGTTATGCTTGCAGGAAGTAAGATGTGCTGGGACAACTGTAATCGCACAATCTCACAGCAAGACTCCAGCTGCCGCCCTGGGCTGCTGGGCCCTCCAGGGCTGAGGAGGGCAGGAGACCAGCGGGGCTGGGCCTTCACAGCCATTTCCTGTTTCATCCTCACAGCCAACCTGTGTCCAACACAGATGTGCTAGAGACCTGAGCTGGTCTCACAGCTTGGGCAAAAAGCTTCAGCATTCCATAGATCCCACCCTGCCTCTCACGAACAGCTGAGGGAAGAGGAAGGTGCTACAGACCCAACCACATGCCCTTACACACAGCCTACTGGGTGGCGGAGGCACCTGGAACAGGCATTTTGCATGGATGGCTCGAAGCATAGCCAAAGAGCATCGATCAAGAAGGACCAGCGTTTGATGTCTGGCTTCGCTTCCTAGGTGTGAACTCAGATCAAGGTAGGTGACTATGGGAGACTTCCGGGAAGATGGCGCTGAGGGCCACAGAGGACAACTCTGAAGACAAGAGTCCGGAGAGAGTGTCCAGAATGACCAGCCCACCTGGGGCCAAACCAAGATGGGAGTGGAACAGGCCAGTGATATGTGGGAAATCACCGAGTCCCTGAAGAATCCCAAGCTTAGACTGCTGACTTGGGGGCAGCACTTGGCACTCCATCTGAGCTGAATGTGGATCACTCATAAGGGGCCACACTGTGGTGGGGTGGGGTGGTGGTGGACTAGACCCGCTGCATCCCTAACGGCTGGAATAGGACAATGGCCTTATAGGATGCTCACCTTTCAGACACGATTACTGAGGACTAAAGGGGTGTATGTGTTGCTAGGTAAGCAGGACCTGGAATAGGTGACCCTGAAAGCAGTGGGGACCGGACTGATGGTTCTTAACACGCCCTTTCTTTCGTTAAACATGGAGGTATTTATCTGCGCTGTGTCGTTATCCTCATCAGACATGTGGCTATTTGTATGTTTTGGGTGGTTATATACAAATAATCCAGGATAGGTGACCTTACAGAGACAGTGATGAGACCGATGGTTCCTGGCAGGTATGGGACGAGAGGGGAGCCAACAATGGCAGGTACAGGGGGATTTTAGGTGTCCTAAAAGTGATGGTGAGGAGGGTAAATTTTCTTGATGCATCTGAACAATTGAAATGTATCTGAGAGGAATTACTGAAATGTAAACATAACTGTGGGTTAGGAGGAGAAAAACAAAACAACAAAATAAATATATATGCAACAAAGAAGCAGATGGACTTGGGGCTTCTGCTTAAACCCTGCCTCAGTACAAGAACAGTTTGTTCTAATAATGTGGTATTGTAGGATACTCACCTTCCCAACATGATCACTGAAGACAAACAGGTGCATAAGCAAATGTGGTGAAGAAAGCTGATGGTGCCCGGTTATCAAAAGATATAGCGTCTGGGTCTTAAAGGCTTGAAGACAAGCAAGCGGCCATCTAGCTCAGAAGCAACAAAGCCCACGTGGAAGGAGCACACCAGCCTGTGCGATCACAGGGTGTCGATGGCAAGAGGTATCAGAAGTTCAGAAACATACAACTCAGTGTGAAGAAGCATTGATGTAGTGGAGACCCAAAGCCCACCCACAAGGTAATTGGACAGTCCCTCTCAGAAGGGCCACATGGAAGGGATGATAAGTCCAGGGTGTGATGCAATGACGACCCACATGATCATCCACTAGTTCTTAAATATTTACTCCCCTTATTATTCAGGCTGCTGTTTGTTTTACCTCATCAATCAAGTTAGATTTGCGTATGTTCATTTGTTTACTTAATGAAAGACAAGATAGATAACCCTGCAGAAATAGCCACAGGAGTAGTGGTTCCCTGAGGGTATGGCAAGAGAGGAATGGGGAGCTGTTAGCATTGGTGACTGTCCAACTCCATTTCATGGGACTGAACAACAGAATTGTTGGTGAGTGGATATATGGATGGTGTAAGATATGTCAATAAAGCTATGAACAACAACAAAAAGATGTACAGCCCCAAGGGGTTGAGGGGGTTGGGAGTGCAAGCAATGCATGTGGGAGTGGGGAAGGGGCACTCTCTGGAACTGATGGTGAATACACAACTCCTACTTTACATGTGACTGACTGGCGGGGCGGGGGTGGGGTTAGGGAAGAAAGTGTTCTAAAATTGATTGTGCTTATGATTGCACAACTCTTCTTGATGTGATTGAACTACTGAATTGTGATATGCGGCTTTAGTGTCAATGAAATTGTTAAAAATAATAATAAAAACACCCTAAAAAAAAAGTACTTGAGTCTGTAATTCCTTCCTCTGTCAAAGGGGGCTTCCCTGACCTTGAGGTGTTAGGAGACATGACCCAGATGATGCCTGTCCAATACGGAACAGTGCCTAGCCCACAGGAGTGGAGACCGAGCTTCCCACTAGCTTCTCTGATCTAACCCTCGTCTCCACACTATTGTATCCGCATGAGAGATGAGGAAGTTGAGACTGGCAAGGCCACACACCACATCCACATAACAAGCATCCCAGCAAGGCGTGCACGAGGATGTTACCTGGTGAGGTAAAGTTCACAGACAAGGAAGGGCCATCTTCATCCATATTTGCAGGGGGTATGTTATGGGCCCCGATGAAGTAGACTGTGTTCAGCTCCACGGGGAAGCCTGTGTAGGAGAATGCCCACTGCAGGGCAGGGCAAAGCAAGGCACCTTGAGTTCCTGAAACACTGTGCCTCTGTGCGTGGCCCTCCACCACGCGCCCCACCCATCCTCTAACCGACTGCAGAAACTTAGGGACACCAAGGGAACTCCCAGAATTAGGGAAGGATAAAATCGCAAAGCCCATTCATAGCTTCAATCCATCTCCCCACACTCGGCTGATGGAGAACTGAGGCTCAGATGCTGACTTGCCCTGAGGCAGGGAACGGCGAAGAAGTCATGTGGGGTGTGCGCTTGGGCATGCTGGTCCAAGCCTGGGTTGTAGCTGCTGCTCCCAGACTGCCAGTCCAGGACCTCACCCATGCTCCCAGGCAGAGCTTGCCCACCGAGTGCCCCGACCTGCTTACTTTGCTGCCCAAGGGCCTGGTCTGCTGCTGGAAAGCCTCTGTGTAATTGCACCGCACGCAGCTGAAGGTGTGAGAATTGCTGTGGCTGGTCACGCAGATCTTGGTGGCCTTCAAGAAGCAGATGCTGGCTGCCAAGACAGGCAAGAGGGCTGTGGTTTATGTAGCTCAATGCCACACACTCTGCACGCCTATTCGCCATGCTCCTGAAGGCTGTTCCCAGTTTTCAGATAGGGAAGAGGACACCTGGGCAGTGTCTGGGAGCTCTGCCAAAGCTCACAGAGCTCATCAGTGGCAAAATACGGACACAAATGTCATCGCACCAGCCCCTTCCTGTGTCACTGGGAGCCTGGGTCTCACAGGAGCTCTACGATGTTTGGGGCTCTTTTAAGGGGAATGGGCCTGCCCTGGGGACCTCCACAAAGACCCCCAGAGTGTCCTCAACAAACCACGCAGGTCCTGACTGTGTCTCTGCGGCTGCAAATCCTTCGCCCCAGGATGCCCTCTCTTCCCATTCCCGACAGCTCAGAGCTTTGCTCCTCCAAGACTCAACTCATTCAGGATTGGCTCATCAAAAGCAAGCGTAAGCTGCCCCACAGCCTGACCTTGGGGGAACACTGAGACCTTGACGCCGGTCTCTGGGAGTAGAAAAGGAACGGAGCTACTGGAGAGCTCCTCCTAGCTCAGGGGAATCATCTCGTATTATTAATCTCGTCCACAGATGTCAGTGTACTGCTGTGTGACCCTTCACACTCCTGGAGCCAGCGGCCACCTTCTGACCATGCTGGGAGCCCGTTCCGCCTTCCTTTCAGCTCCTCCCCCACACCCGAGAGGAATCGTTATTCTGGCCGGATTCATTTCTCACTTTCTATACAGGAACCGCCTGGCCTTCGCAAATCCGCAGACCTATGTCACCGTGTATACGTGCAACCTTAGTCTGCAAGGTTCAAGCACAGTGTTGTGCAGGATCCCTTCATGAGCCTGCTCCATTGTGGGTGGGCCCCTGACTGCTGCGAAGGGTGCTACTGTGCACATGCTAGTATTTGGCTTTGGGTGCATGTGTATAGGTATTTCTGTTTGGTATGTGCCAAGGAAGAAGCCCCAGTGATAACCTTAGCTTCAGGGCTAAGGTTAAGAACTCGATCAGCAATTCAAACTGACCCAGCAATTATTCTCGGAAGAAAGGCCTGACAACCTGCTTCCATAGATTAGTTAAAAGACCTGCGGCAGCCTAGTCTGTCCCACGGCCGCTACGTGCCAGAACCAAGGTGCTGACACCTGGCGATGACCTGTGGACACGGCAGGGCTTCTCCTGGACGTTCGTAGACTCACCATCTGCCCGGAGTATCCAGCTTATGTTCATCCGCAGTGAATACTCTTCCGGCGCAACCCTGGCTTTAACAGGCTCCACACGGAGGTCCCGCAAGTCTCCGGGAATCAGAGTGTGTTGGACCTTCCATTCTGGAGACAGCTCTGGGAAAAGTCACAATGACAATCCCCCCTCCTCCAGGAAAGGCTACTGCCATCTCCTCCAAGTGACCTGCCCCCACCCATCTTCTCCACCCATTCTAATTCACTCCTCCTCCTCCTCCTCCTCCCTCCTCCCTCCTCCCTCCTCCTCCTCCTCCTCCTCCCAAAGGCAGGCCAAACATTTCTGGGCACCAGCAGCTGAGGGGACTGCTGAGCTGAGAGAAGTACTCTCAGTTTCCTGGCCCTGATGCTCCAGACAGCGCACTAGGGATCATTCTGAGAGTTTGTGTATCTAAAGTAAGGTGCTCTGGTGGTGTGGGTTATGCTTTGGGCTGCCAACCACAAGGTCAGCAGTTCAAATCCACTAGTTTTGAAAGGGGAAGATGAGGCTCTCTGCTCCCATAAAGACTTCCTTTACAGCCTTTACATTCTGCTCTGCCCCCTGGGGTTGCCATGACTCCACAGTGAGTGAGTGAGGGAGTGTGTGTGAGTGTGCAGCTATATTTATGAGGGGGCTTCACAGAGTACATGGAACAGTTCCACTGTCTTCTAATTCCATTTCTACAGACGTGCCATTCCCCACCTTTCCATCTACCTTCTTAGGTAGAAGTCCCCTGATTCTTAAACACTCCCATCTCAACTACCTGCCATCTTCTATAACCCTTTCTTCCTGTCCCCCGGCTCTAAGTGACTTCCTCCACAGCACTGGCTGTCCTAGTGAGGCGTGGCAGCAGCACCACTGTGCTTGGCAATTCCTGCCCTGCCTGGTCTCCCTTCCTGCTGGACACCAGCTCAGATGAATCACCCCTTTATTCCCTGAGGCTTCCGCCTTGCGTGAGCACACACATCTCCACATCAGCCCGCTAAGCGGTGGCTGTCCCCTGGGCCCAGCCACTGAGGACCCACGATCGGCCGGGTCCAGTTGTCTGAGGGGCTTTGAAACATTTGCAGACAAGAAGAATTACAGATGATAGAAATTTCCCACCAGCCCACACTTGCTATGTAAAGCCCCAGCTGCCTGTTCCCTAATGCACCTACCGTTCTCAGAGCCACACTGCACAGTCTGCAAGAGAGAGAGACCCAGGGTCACGCCACCTGCTGGCTAATCACAAACTGCTTTTGCCAAATAAAACACCCTCTTTCTCCTTACACATGCACAAGTGACAAACTTTCAAAGACAAGATGAGCTGATTCCGTTTCATAGTTTGGCACAGTAAGTACGCTCCCCCTCCGTGAGGCGAACCCGTGAGGCGAACTGGGACCACCGGCACACACGGTGAGACACTGGGACTTGGGGCCCACCAGCCGGTCATCACCTCACTTCTTGGCCGGAGGTGGATGCCAAGCCCGCCTCCTTCCCACCGAGACAGTGGCTGACTCCTTCACACTCATGTTCAACTCTGGGTTAGCAGAACGGTCAGGAGAATTGGTGGCGTTTTCTCTGGTGATTAACAGAAGATATCACTGACTGCAGGCCCGCGGGGCCGCCCTGTCTCTCCACAGTGTCCTCTCTTCTGACACCAAGAACTTGCCAGCTTCTCAAAATCACAGGCAGTTAGTTAGGTGTTTCAGCGTGTTTTCGATGGCGAAGATCTTTCAGGCGGTTGAATATCAATATCCAAGAGAGGCCAACAATCAACCCTTAGGCGTTAACAGTTTGAATCTTTGCATAAGAACAAAAAACTTGTACTTTGGTTTGGGGGGAAAATGCTGAACCTTAACAGTTAGGCAGCAGTAAGGGAAGAAAATTGAGGGTTTCTACTCCCATAAAGAGTTACCGTCTCAGAAACCCACAGGGGCACTCCCCGCCCCCCCATCCTACACGGTCACTATGGGTCGGCAACAACCCAATGCCCATGAGTGAGAAGTTCCAATGACAAAAACTATCAACATTTCTAAGCAGCTTGCAAGGTGAAGAGGACCAGGCTTTTGTGGCCCGAGTAAGCTGGATTTGGGGGAGATCACCTCTGTTTAAAACAACGAGCCACTAAACTAGCCGAGTTTTTTAACAAGGATTTGTGAGGCAAGTTCTAACAAGAAGTAAAGCCATGGCTCTAAACGCTCCAAACTCGGGCTTATAGCAACTAAGGCAAAAGGAGTTGCTATCTTCCTCTGGTGGAAAACATCACAAGCGCCTCCCGGCAAAGACCTCATAGGATTGAAGAGGTTTGTCTTTGCAAAACCACCAGCTGGTACCTCCATGTCTTCTGTGGGTTGTTTTTGCCATGCTAGGAGGTCAAGGATAGAACTTAGAGTGCTATTTGGGGGCAGGTGTTTCTTAGAGACCTGTTTTTTAGAGGAAACCTGCCCTAGGGCTCACAGATCAACCTTGCAGAGAGGCAGGGGGCATTGGACAGGCAGATCTTGGGCCCCATAGGTGAACAGATTCCAAGACCCGAGTCATAGCAATATCGAAGACTGGCTCTGTATGTGGTGTGGCGACCCTGGTACCCTTCTTACAGATGAGAGCACCGACTGAATCTAAAACACACGGTGACACTTGTGCCAAGACCTGTGATTCCCGGGTCCCTGACCTCACCAGCTTCACCGTGCAAGCCCGCCGGGCAGGGGTCTGAGCCTAGGGAGGATGCAGCAAGCGCGCAGACATGCCTCCTCCGGGTGGCCCTTAAGTGCCTCGGGGCAGCGTGGGCGAGGCGGGGACTTACCGGTTCCGGGGACGCGGCGCCCCAGCACAGCGCGGCCAGGCTCAGCAGCGAGAGGGACATCCCGGGGGCTGGCCCGCGGCCCACGGCTTGCGGCT